TCCATTTATACCCCGCCTATCTGGTCATTGCGACCACGTGCTTCCCAGCCTTGGCGGCCATCCCAAAGAGCAAAGAGCGCCTGCGTTTCTTACTGGTTTCCCCCAATCTGTGTTATTCATAGTCTTCTGTGAAACACGTAAGCTGGCGTGCTCCAGCCACGAGGCATGCTTCAGCTCCTGTCACCTCTTCTGTGTTTCTCTCTCCAGGTGACGGATGGAGGAACCATCAAGCAGAAGATCTTCACCTTTGATGCCATGTTCTCCACCAACCAGTCACACATGGAGAATTATCGCAAGAGGGAAGACCTCGTGTACCAGTCCACAGTGCGGTAAGTCCGACCCGTTGCCTTGGAATGGACTTTGCTAGGATGCGGCACAGAGTTGTTCTCAGTAGTCAAAGCTGTGCTGCCATTAACTATTGTTGTGCCTCGCTATGGTGCTTACACTGCATGCCTTTAAGCTTTAATTGAGTTGTCCATGATTGTCTTTTCTGCATTGCATTGACACTTTGGCATTATATACCTGCCAGCTGAAGGTAGGCTTCATGCCTTGATGAAGTGGTCTCCAGTCTATAAAAGCTTGTGCCCCCATAAATGTGTCAGCGCTTCAGGCACTACAAGATTGCTTTGTTGCTAAGTCAGGGCTCTGTATTGTTTAGGAACTGAGCCACTAGATTAGAAAAATGTGCCCAGGGATCTAAAGATAGAGTATCTTTGAAACTGTTATTTTGTTTCACCTGAGTGTTCATTGGCAAAAGGGCTGCCAATTTATAAATTCCTGGCCAGGTGTTCCTGATTGGCTAGACTCATGCTGGTTGTTATACAGGCCTAAATCTGTGGTTTTTTAAAAAATCAGACTTGGATGTGTTCTTACCTTTTATGAAGCATTAGTCTTACTTCACACAAACTTCATTTGTTACGAAGCATAGCAAAGAGCCATATTTGACTGTTGGTGCATTGCTGTTATGCAACTGTGTGATTCCTGATTGGCTAGCTCCTGTGACGTGGAATGTGTAAGTCTGCCTGAAACTTTGGCTAGTCCTAGTTTGGGCTAGAAAGATGAAACAGAGTCTGAAGTTGCTTGTTTGCTGACGTTTATTTGTTCGCTTGTTTACTTATTAGCCCATCCTCCTTGGCATATAGCCCTGGGGTAGCTAATAACTTATATAAAAGCACATTATCACTGCAAATCTAAGATCAGAGACAAATAATAAGACACAGCAAAAAAACCTCTCTGATCACTCAGAGGCAAAGGGTGGCTTTTTCCCCTTCTGGTATAGACAGTCTTCAAGGAGAGACCCAGCACCCTTTCTGAGGGGCTGTCTTCCCCCGTCCATTTCTGCTGGCTTGGATTCCCCTTTATTTTGTTTCTCCTCTTCTTAGCCCATAATTCAGAATCTGCACCAGCTGCTTTTCCTCAAAGTGGGAGAAGCTTTTTCTGTTTCTGTGGAAATTGAGATGTCAAAAATGTTTCATAATGGCACCGTGATTTCACACACGCGCTGCAGTCTGAGGAGAGGAGATGGGAGGGTTTCCATTATTCAGTGGCAAAACAAACATTTTGAAATCAAAATTCACAGTCATGGGGAGGGGGAAGAAGAGAGAAGGACCATCGATCGCCCAGGAGGCTGAGATCCGACAGCCCGACAACCCAAGACGCCACACAAAAGCAAGCAAAGTTTTGTGCAAGCTGCTTCCCAGTCGGCCGGAGAGACTTCAGGGATAAGAAATCCACATTTACATATAAATGAAGATATTTGCAAATTAATGTATTTTGAGGGAGAGGAAGTCCCGGCACCACCACCGCAGCTGTCAAAGCAGAGCGTCTTGCTTTCTTGCAGGAGGAGCGGAAAACAAGGCGAGGAAGATTTAATGGAGAGCAAAATGCAATTTTCACATGGCCCCATATTAAAAAGGCCAGAGTGATATCCTATGGCGCTGCTTACAGGTTTGGAGAGACCTGTCAGCTCCTTGAAATGTTTTCCACGATGGGGTTTGGGGGAACATAACCAGGTTATGTGGGTAGACTTCGCAGAGGACTTGTTTATAACCAATTCCTCTTGTTTTTCCCTTTGCAATAACTAAGGCATAATTTAGTTACTTTACCATTGTAATGTAGTTGAGGTAGTTCATCAAGTCCCTCAGGCACTGCATTGAGAGACAAGACATAGTAAGAAACGGGACACAGTGAACTGAGTATATATATATATTGTATGTGTGTGCGCACAACATCTGGTCTTTGTTGAATGAAAGCAAAGAGTCTCGTGGTGCCCCCCCCCCCAATTTAACGATTTGGTGTAAGATGTTGTGTGACGGCTTTCAGCTGTGTTGGACCAAGTTGGCTCCAGGCCACATCTGGCTGGAGGTGCCGTCGCCACTCAGTCCTTCCAGGAACAGTGACAGGAGGGTGACCCGGCGTGGCTCGGCTCAGGCCATGCCGGGTCGGCTTCTTCCCTTGGGCAGCACCAAGAACAATCAGCCTCATGGCGCCCGTTCAGAACTGAGTGTCACACCATGTCATGAGGGTTCAGTTCAAGAAAAACAGCAATCACCATGTGTTTAGAAAGATTGACAGATGCACAGCGCATCATCTAACAGGTTGACCGTGGCTTTTAACCCTTGGCTTTCTGACTGATTTGGACTACAGCGCCCAGAATCCTTCCATTGGATGCGTTCACTGGGATTATTGGGAACTGAAGTCCAAAACAACTGGGGAACCAAAGGTCGAAAGACACCAGTCTTATCGTTAGTTCTGACTTTGGTTTGTCTTCACGTGGAACAAGGAGAAAAGAGGTGATCCTTGGCAGAAGACAACATTCCTTCCAGGCTTTTCATCTGTGTTGACCTCACTTGCTTGAAGGCTCACCTGGGACAGAATTTCGAAAAGGATTTTTTTTTGTGTGTGTGTAAATACAGTTTCCAGCTGGTTGGATAACTCAGTGGTTTAGGTCACTGGCTTGCAGAGCCGGAGGTTTAGAGTCCCAATTCCCCCCCCCCCGAGCCCTCCAGGGAGAATAGGCAGCCCGGGTGGCCTTGGGCCAGCTGCGATGTCCCAGGGATCCCTCATCACCACTCGAAGAAGGCAATGGGAAGCCACTCCTGAATATTTTCCCTACCTGGAAAACCCCGCGACTCAGAATTTCCTTCATGGCACGCGATTATTATTTCGCTGGCTGGATAGCTCAGTGGTTTGGGTCGCTGGCTGTGGAGCCAGAGGTTGGGAATTGAATTCCCAACAGGGCGCCCTGTGAGTAGAGCCAGCCTGGGTGGCCTTGGGCCAGCTACACTTTGGTCCCAGGGCGTTCCCAGGAGAAAGGAATGCAAAACCATTGCTGCGCCTTCCTTACCTGGAAAACCCACACCTTAAGCCACAACTGAAATGACAGCTGATAATTACGTATCGGTGGTCATGTCCCCTTCTGGACACTGTAATGACTCAGTCAAGGGAGAGGTAGTCCCGTAGAGAGTCACCTTTGAACCCCCGGCCTGGCGATCTCTATTCTGCAGGAATGTTTTGGTTGCCAACCTCGCTGTGCTGCTCACAGCGCACACTTCGGCCTGGGGGGGGCGCAGACCAGCTCTGTGCCCCCAGCGGAGCGGGTGTGACAGACACCTCCAGAACCAGCCGGTGGCCTGCTTTCAACTCTTTCTCTATGATCTCCCGTCTTTGGCGCTGGCCAGATGCTGTGGGAGGACCAACTCCCGTTGGCCTGACAAGCAGCCGTTGACAAGCTGAGTGGCTTTCTTGGAAGCCTCATCCATCCTGTCGCTGGGGGACGGAGCCACGGGGAGACGGGAGTGACATAAATCCAGATAAAAATAGAAAAGTGGGATGCAGACCCCTACGGAGGGGGGGGAGGGAATAAATAAACATAAGCACCCCTCCCTTCCTTCCTCCCAGCCAGAAATCACTCACAGCGAAGCCGGCTTTATTACTAATTATGCCGTTGGCTTTACGGCCAGGCTTATAAAACCCAAACTGGAGTATAAAAATGTTAAAGAGAGACTTAATTTAAGGAGAAAGGCTGGGATATAGCATCTCATTTTGGGGTGCTATTTCTTCCCAATGTGCTGGAACGTATTTCAGCGCTTGTTTTTCCGAGCACTGAAAGGAAATAAAACTTGAGTGAAATCTGGGATTTGCCATCAAGCCGGTTGCCGGCCCTCTCTCTCTCCACCCCACCTCCCCTTCGTGCCTTGTGATTTCTGCTGCGGGGACTCAAAGGGAATTAAAAGATCTACTTCACATCCTGGCCTGAGATCTTCCGATACTGTACTGGGGTGGGTGGAGGATGTAAATATTGTAATAGATCACATCCTCTCTTGCTTTCTGCAATCAATAGCTAGGTGGAGGCAAGGAAGGCTCCTGCCACTGTTAGTGAGTTGCCCCGGGGCATATTAAATGGCCCTTTGTCCCCAAAGTAGTGTGAGTAAGACCCACGGAGTGCCTGAATGTCATAAGTTCATTGCTTCTCCTGCAAAATGGTCCCTTCCTCCCCAAATCCCTTCTCCACTTAGAGCATCGATGGGCTTCACCATTTCCTGCTCCCAGTCTCCAGCTGGGGTGGAGGGGGTGGGTGGGGGCTTCTCGCTGTTGACATGAACCCAAGACAGGCCCATCGCCCGCTTTCCCAGAGGTGAGATGTGCGACAGAGTGCGGACCCTTAGCGATGAGCCCTGGCCTTCGTTGTAATCCTGTATGAACTGAAGAGGATGCTAATTTGGGGGAGGAGGGGGTTGGAGCCCCTGTTTTGTGTCTGGTCGGCCCCGGGTTCAAACCCCAGCAGCGCCAGCAAGAGACTAGCAAGGAGACCCTCCTGAAACCAGGTAAGACAGGTGACTCATTTGATGTAGAGAGCCTTTGCACTTCAGGCAGGGAAGGCATGTCTCTCCAGATGCTGTCGGACTACAATTCCCATCATCCCTCACCATTTGTTTTGCTGTCGTGGCCTGATGGGAGCTATCGTTGGACAACATCTGGAGGGACACACCTTCCCCTCCCGCCTCTCTTTTGAATGAACAAAAACCCCACCCATACCCGGGAGGAGGCTCTCCGTCTCCCTCCAGCTGGCAGTCTAGCTGCCCCCCCCCCGCAAGCTGGGCTTTCAAACAGATTTTCCTAATCCTTCCTTCTCGTGCTGAGGATCAATACGTCTTCCTTTTGGTTCCGATCGTTCCCATTGATCCTGTTTTCTGCTTCAGCCGAAAGTGTTTTTCTGTTGCTGCAATTAGAGTGAAGTGGGATAAACTTTGTGGAGGGTGAGATATTAAATTAAGTCAGACCTCCCTGGAAGAGGTTGTAATGATCTTTTTGGGCCTTTTAACACCAG